AAGAAATTAGTTTCAGGAAAACAAATATGAATTATATTTTAAGAAACCGACGAATAACCAACAAACTTTAACGATCAGTTCCGAATGAGAACAACAAAGGAATGTTATTACAATACGTATTATGCAGAACTAGCAATGTAAGATTTCCGAACTTTTATCATTACTCTTGTTAGAGAAGGCTCATTTGTCTTTATTACTTCTTTCTTAGGAGAATTCGTTTCAATCTATACAGCGTAGAGTAAATTAAGTTGTTTATGTACTCTCATCTAGTTGTACTTGCTGCAACGCTGTAGCTACACTAGAAATAATGAACTTTACCATAATCACAGTACTATAAGACAAAGTCCATATGAAGAATCCAATTCTTAATAAACTTAAATGATTCTTATGAGTTATTACTACAATAGCACCACTAGGTTACATTTTAGGGCCCATTTCATATAAGATTCTTTCTTAAGATTGTAATAGTAATAGTAGCATAATGAATAGTGCACTGAATAATTATTATCATTGAGTCTCAAAACTTTAAGCCATTTCTCTAATAGTCGTCTATGTATATTATAAGAATTTTTAAAATATATTTTTCTTTTCAAATCATACTTTTGTACTGCTACATTCAAATTAATAAACATTATGTGCTTAGATTATTTTATAATAAATACATAATGGTGTGCTTCCTTTTAAGTACCTGTAATATCTCATCAGAAGGCCACTGCTCTTTCAGTTGTTATATATAAATATTTTTATATTATGACAAAACATAGAACGAAAGTAACAATAATTTTTCAAACACAAAAAGAAAAGCAATATTAATGATGATTATTTTTAGTTTGATTTGAATGCGTGTGCATTTTGTGTTTATGTGTGAGTGTATATGATTGTATATGCGTGTGTATATAAGGAAGTGCAATAATTCAATGTTATACACACCCTGAATTGAAATCGATTGATAGCATTATGTATTTGATTTTATTAGTTACAGTCAAAAGTTATAACGTTTAAAGTATATAGTTATATACAATGATGTTCAACCGGATCAATAAAAATTCTCTCGATATAAGTACAATCGTTACCGACACGTATCGGATTACTCTAGTCGCCGTAAATCTACAAGAGACCGTGTCTTGGAGTGATATCCCACCCCCGTTCAGACACCCTGACACACCCAACCCCCCACTGAGACGAGAGCAAAACGGTGCGTCGTGCCAAGGTAAGAAATTTTTGATCATACGATAAATTTTTTAAACGATTCCGAGATAGAAAAGTGCGCGTTTTATATTTACATACGTTAATGTTATAAAAGATTTTACGCAGGCATTTGAGTGAATGAACATCAAGGAGCTAAAAATACTCGCTTGAAAATTTTCTTATGAAAAAGTAGCAAATAAAACAGAACTTAATTTCTGAGGATTCTGTCGAATTCCATTTCTGTTATCGTAGACTTATAAGAGATTTTTACCCGACTGCGCGACGCAAAGGAGGGTAATGTTTTTATCAATTTATGTAGGTATGTATGTATGTTTATTTCTATGTGGCGTTCTAGAGACCAAATGTGTAGGCCGATTTTGATGATTCTTATGTCAATCGATTCGTCGTAACCTTGCAAATGTCACTAAAGACATGACAGTAATCAAAATTCGTCACAGCGATAATCAGATGCCATATTGTCAAAATGAAAAAAAAACAATGAACTATGTCAAGTGGGGTGTCCTTGAATAGGTATTTTAAAATCATCTTTAGATTCCTTTTATCATTTTTCATATTAAATAATAGTTTAGGATATAAAACGATTTCGCTAATTTTCTTACTTATTGATTTAAGTTTTTATTTAAAGTATAAACGATATACAAACAAAAAAAAAACAGTTAAAAAGCATGAAGAACAAATATTTTTGGTAAAAAAATAAAGCATATGTTGCTTTGAGACGAGTTAAGTCTCTAGTGACTACCGCAAGTTACCTAATAATCCCCAAAATATTAACTCCCTCAATGAAATGACTAGATTGCGAAATTTACCATCCTATAACGAAGTCAACGAATCGTAACTAAAAAGTATAAAATAAATAATTTCAAGAAAAATAAAAAACCCGACTGCGTAAGAACGAAATTTAAAAAATACATGAAAATATATATATATATATTACCAATAACTTGTTCATAATACAGCAAAGGTTTCTGAATTCGTTTCATCGAATCACACAAATTTTTCAATTATAATAAGGTTATACCAAGTATTGTACTCATGAGATCGACATTAGATACATTACTTACACTCTTTCGCCGTCTATTCTAGTCTAACATATTCTTATTGATATTAACTAGAGTAAGAATATCACAGTGAAGTTTACGATATTTCATAAATTGGTATTATCCCGCCGTAAACGTACGCCCGTACCACGCCCGTACGATAGGTTAGTTGCGTTAATAAATGTATGCAGAATTACAATAATGATAATGGAATGGATTCATGCTAAATAGGAAATATGTGACTTGTAAACTGTAAACAGCTACGAACTTTCATCACAACAGCTGCTTCGTGTCATAAACGCTATCAGAAATGAATAATGTTTTAGAAAATTTGTCACGATCATAACTAAAAACTTACAGAAATAAGAAAAATATAAATAATAGTTTAAGCAAAGTAAATAGTAAAACGAGCAATGAAATTAAATACAACGAATAGATAAGAAAGAAAGATTTGTAAAAATAATTCAACACAGAATAAGAAATGTAATATTTAATGTAAGGAAACAAATGCATGCATAAGATAGAAGAGTATACAAATAGTAACGAGAATTAACCTTAGGAAATGTAATAAAATAGAGTAATAGAATAGAGATAGTTAACCATAGTAAACGAACTTATCAAGTGCGCAACCGATAAAATAATGAATAACAATTAATGGAAAAAAGAATCAGTAAAATTTATAGAACGAGTAGCATGAATGATAGCCTGCAACTGGTTGGGAATCAAAATGATTAAAACTATAACATTGCATAGATAAGAAAATATCAAAAAGTATTGTAAGACAACAATACGAGGGGTGTAATACCACATGCAACCTTAATCACATTCTGAGTGCACACCACAAATGAACGCACGAAATTTTATTGGTTTCAGCGTTCGAAAACATAAATTGACAGTCCAGTTTACGACAGCCTATGTTGTTTGCTTAAAAGTTATTGCAGCATTGCTGCACTGCAATAAAAAAAAATAAGGGAACTTAGAAAATGGTTGTCACATAATCCCAAAATTCGTCATCACGACGTACCACGTCCAAGCATATTTAAGAGATATATAAACGATGGGATTCTTATATCACATTGACAATTTAGACGACGAATAGACTTTGTGTAGTTGAGTTTGTCTAGACTTTGAGAATTAAAACGTGATACTTAGTGGTTTCACTACTGGTGATGTTAATGGTATAGTACATTTATTTATTTGCCATAAATTGTTGGTTATATTGGTCTAATTCATGTTACTTACAGCACCTAATAAGAATATATCAAAATTTACTTATTAAGTACTTTAATGATTAATTAAATAAGTTTAATAATTTTCTAATATCCACAAATTTCATTTAGAGAACTTTGCATAAATTCATTGGAATTATACTGAATAAAGTAAATATAAACCGAGTATGAGATAATGATTTAATATCATGGGGCAACATCACATTTTATTACCAACCCACACGATTATAACTGTAAATGTGTATAATGAAGAACTGAACGCAATCATAGAAATCTTTTAGCAGTATTGCCAACTGCTTGCTCCAGAACATCATTTAAAATAAGCACACCACACCTTCTTAAAACTACAGAAAACTACAAATCGTAATTCATACTATTTCACAGTATTGAAATAGTATTATTATAAATGAAATTATTAGTGCAGTGCAATTCTGTAAACACATTTATTCAGTGATTGATCTCTTTGAAAATATATTAAAGCGTTTTATTTTCATAAGCTGTTAATGCTGTGACAGAGGTGTATTTTATGCTGTATTTATAAAAAATAACAAAGCTGTTTATATATACAAAAACAACAGACTCTTCAGTATTCACAAAATTTGACGTATTTTATAAAACATTTATTTCATTCATTTTCAAATATTTTAGACTTTTTAAATGGTATTTGGTATGAAATTATTAAAGAATCTCCTCTAGATACTATACTTATATAAGAATGATCTGATACTCTAAATGTATCTTATCTCGTTGCTTGTCACAAACACGAACACACAAAGGCGCTAAGCACAAAGCACTAACAGACTTCAAAAGGAAGACGTGAATACAAGGACAGACCTTTTGAAACTATCATTCCGTCTGGTTTTACTCTAGATATGAATTATAGTCGAGTCTTTGAACACATAAATAGGCTAACAAAACTGGGCGAAGACTGTCTGAACGTATTTGGACTAAACAAACTGTACCGTTTTAATTTATCTATACTATTAATATAAAGAGGAAAGAATTGATAGTTTATTTGTTTGTTTTATGTGTAGAATACGCTCCAAAACTACTGGAACGATTTAAAAAAAATCTTTCACGTACGGCAAACTGCATCGTAGGCGGGTGACGTCGGCTATAATTTACGCGGGAGAGGTCAGATGATAATAATAAAATATATAAGTAAAATCAGTCCATCTAGCTCACAAACCACGGTGAATTACTTGAATCATATTGATTAATTTTAAGAATTACACTTCCTCTCCCGTATAGTATAGTTCAAACAATTTTTATAATTTTTGCTGATTTTGCTTTAACATCTCAAAAAATTTGTTAACGATCCAAATGTATCTAGACATTTTGTTTAAAAATCTCTATCAATCAGAAATCGTATACACAGCTTGCACGTTACGCTACACGTCATTACCGTAAGCAGACCTCAGTCAGTATGGAAGTCCTATACAAAGCGCGGTACGTACAGAGTCCGTACAATTTATTTTTTATACAACACTTAAGTTTTTATTAAATTCACATACACATTTAACACTCACCTCGAGTTCGATCTCTTTGACGAGTCGTGTTTCTTGCCACCTTGAAGATTAGGCAGATCCTTCTGCCGTTTCTTTGTCTCTTTCCATATTCTGTAGTACAATATGCACATTACGGTCACTGGCACATAAAACGCCGCAATAGCAGTCCCGAACGTGATAAACTGATTCGTCTCTATGAACTGAATGTAACACTCATTAGGTGGCACTTTCCTCTCACCGTCTATATACGGCCACGCGTAAATCCAAGGAGGCCACAACACTAAGCTGAATCCCCACGCACCACCAATCATCACCGTCGCACGACGTGTAGTCCTCTTAGCGCGATAAGTCAACGGACGTGTCACGCTAAAATATCGGTCGAAACTGATTATTAATAAATTGAGCACCGACGCGTTTGACGCCAGATAGTCTAATGCGAGCCACGTGTCACAAATGTATGGCCCGAGAGGCCAGTAGCCGTATATCGTAAACATCGTGTACAGAGGCATCGATATTAGCCCGACAGCGAAGTCCGCTACAGCGAGTGAGAAGAGGAAGTAGTTGCTTATGGTTTGAAGTTGCTTGTCGATTTTGAAGCTGATCATCACCATGGAGTTGCCTACTACGGTGAGTACGGATAGGACACTGGCGACGATAGCGATGACGATCTTCTGGACGAGGCTGTACGGGCTGGCGGGCAGGTCTTCTAGGAGCGCCACGTCGGTCAGGTTGGTCGGGCCGGAGGCGTTGAGCATGCTGTCAACTCGGCGACCCGCCGCCCGCGCCTCCAACCCTCGAGCGCCAACCGAGCGCGCGCGCGTCTGTTGACAAACACAACATTTAATATTATTATAATCTCAAAGGACAATGTCCAAATTAGCCTATGAACCTCTAAGAATATCTTGTATATCATAATTCTTATCATATTTTATGATTAATATATCAGCTTTTAAAATCAAACGGACACTGCCCATTTTTGTAATTACTTTAAAAAGTAATATCAATACATTTGATAAACTTCAATAAACGCTGCCACCATATTTTAATAAGTTGACAAATCAGGATCTATGCACAATTTGATGTATAATCAACCAATGAACACTTAAAGCGCTTGACATTAAAACGAGACTTAAAACGTTCGTAGATTTTTAAGCGGCTGGAAGCGCTCTTTTACATACGTTTGACAATTTTAAACTTTTGAAGTTTTGTTTGACAATCGCTTTCATACTCGCGTTGTGTTTACGTCGCTTGAGTTTGTTTGTACGATTTCTTGTGTCTTGTGAATATTAGTTATAAAATAACGACTTGGCTTGAACTAAGGACTGCTTTCGTCTTATAACATCGACCTCCGGCAGTGATTTACGGCATACCGACCTACTATAGACGACGACTTGGCATTTATTTAACGGACATTAACATGGAATCTGGGTGTGTTGAAGTATTTTGTGTTAATTGCGGTTCAGCTTCTGGTTGCATGGTATTAGAAGATGAGCAGATCCTTCAGTGTATACAACACTGGGTTGCTCCAAGATTGGTAAGTACATGCTCCCGATACAGAACCTACAGAACCTTTTAAAGCAAACAACAACAATCAACATTTAAAGCAAAGTAGACATACATTTCCCTACAAAAAGCAAGTAAAACAAACATTAAAAAGAATCTAACCGCACGCTACAATTGTTAAAATTATAACCTCAAATCCAAAATATATTTTTTGATTTATACATTTCTTAGAAGTGTCCGTTACTTAAACATGTATTTAGACGTAAATATAGATACTTTAGAACACGAAAAGTGATAGTAGATGCTTAGAGGTTCTTAGGCGAAAAATGTATGGGGGCTGGACATTGTCCTTTAAAGATAGGAGGAATACTTTCTTTGTTTGTATGGGATACTCATCGGGAACTGATACGATCATGAAAATTATTTGAACTACTCACACGTTACTGTAATAACGTCGGTGAAATAATTCATATCGTATGCGGATGGCATAAGCTATAATTTACGTGGGCGAAGTAAAAATAAGACTACTTCATGTATACTTTAATGTTTTAGTCGCGCTCCTATAGTACTGCTTGTTTATCCAATATACATGATAGCAATTAGGGTCGCGCGTGGCTGTGTATCCATCAAATTTCATCTGCGCGGTTGCAGCACTTGCAGCACTTTAGCCGCGCGATAAATGTATAAATAAGTGCTCTTGCTTTTGGATTTAACTTGGAGTAATGTGTAGCCAACCGATCTGCCAATTGGACACGATTGACCAACAAAGGAGTTATTGTTTTAGGGTTAATAACAATTAAAAAATAACAGCCAACCAAACACTTTTATGTATACTAGTTTCTAAAAGTCTATGCAGTCATCTGATTGTTTTTGTCATGTCTCATATCATTTATAGTTAGACAGAAGTTATTTTCTTTATTTATCATTATTTTCGGTCTATTGAACGTAGTCTCAAAATACGCCACTAGTACATGGACAATAAATCTTTCGATTACAATGAAGATGTGTTAACGGCCTCTTATCAAAAATTGCCATTGTGAATGTCAAAATGAAACGAGTATTTATTGAAAATTACAACGTGTCCAAAACAGCGAATCGCAAACATTTCCTATGGTGTCAGATGCAAGAATGGTAGCACTCAACCGAGCCATCGATCTCGATGACAGCGGAGCCGCGACCCAGTTCTGTGTGTCTCACCCTCCCCCCACCCGCTGTCTAACAGGAAGATCCACAATGACAGCCTCAAATTAATGCCGAAAATAAAATCTTTCCAAATAATTTTTGACAATTTCCTAAGATATTTCTTTCAGTGTTATTTCGGTTTAATAATAGCGTAGTTATCCTTCATTTTCAAAGTTATTTGACGACCTTCTTGTTTGAGTGTCTCATACGTCATTTTCATGGTGCCGCTTTGTTTCATCTTTGAGGTCCCGGGTTTGATTCTCAGTTGGATCAATATAGAAAATGGACTTTTCTGAATTGGCTCGGGTCTGTTGTGGTACCTGCGTTGTTACAGATATTCCATAATACGATACTTAAGTCACTTAACAGGATCAATCCCCATCGATCAAAACAAATGGTCACCCATCCCATGACCGGCCATTGTGAAGGTTGCTTAACTTCCGCATCGCAAACCGAACGCGCTAATTTAACCTGTCTGTCTTAATCTCTATTAAGTTTGTTTTTCCTCAATTTTCTTCGATTTTTGCTCATAAATATTCGTTTATCTTATAGCTTTCTTAATGATTATACTAGGCTTCTTTTCCGTAAAGAATAACGGCACAGGGATACAATAGAACGCTAAAAGCTTTTATCCACTTTCACATTAAATTCAGAGTAAAAGTGGATTTAAATGTAATCAATTCACCGAAATAGATATTTAGGTGGTTATTGCTTCTTTTATTATAGAATTGGGTCTATCTGACGGAATATCCGTAGTGTATTAAATACGTTTCAAAAATGCCAAAATGAAAAACTGGTAGAATCCTTCAGTCTTGATTTGTTTGCGATAAAAATCCATAGAATCATTTACAACGAAATACTTTGATACTCACTCACTCTATGCTGGTCTCGATCAGAAAAAAAGGATTGACAACCAGCAAAACAAGAACACGCGAAGTCGAATACGAAAAAGTAATAATTTAAAATATTAACGGCCAGTATTAACCATAAACCGTCCGAAGAGTAAATCTACCTATAGTAATGTGCTCGGACGTAACAATACCTACTACGTTCTATTTCTCTGAAAAAGAAATATCGTATTTTCACGAAATGCTAATACGACTCCAAAGAAACTTGATTTCTCGCCAATGTATGATGCAACGAAGGTAGGATCTGACACTGTTTATAATGTACAGAAAACTTTCATGGGAATAATTCAAACAAAATTATAAGAACAGGTATAATTGTAACGAAAGCACAATTTTTTTTTTTTCAATTAGTTGAGATAAAAAATAAAGAATATGTATAATAAAAAAGGTTTTTTTTTTAAACAAGCCTTAATTTCGTACTAAAACATAAATAAATAAATTTTTAATATTTAAAATACTTTTATCAAGATTTTTTTAATAGTAATTGACTTGTAGCGTTAATGAAATCGGGGAAGAGAAAATACATATATATTTTACACGCTACAAAGCAATTCAATTCCTGTTAGAAAAAAACTTGATCATAAATACTTTAAATGTTTAAAATTTATTTATTTACGTTACAGTGCGCACAAATAAAAGCTTGTTTTTGTTTTAATATATTTTATTTTTAAATTTTATTTTTGTCTCAATATTTGTTCTCATAAAGACGAATAAAAAAGAGCCCAAGCACGATGCAGTTGCTTTGTTTCATTGATAAGTTCCTATGACCACCTTCCAACTCCATCATGACCAGACCTTGTTCTGGAAAGCACCCAGTACCAAAGTTCTCATAAAGATTTATCTAACAAACTCAAACACGATGCAGTTGCGTCATTACATCACTAAGTTCCTATGACCCGATTTCATTATTATATCAGCTTATTGACACCATAATATTACATTGTTATCTGACTTACATGTCTGTGCAAAATTTCAAATCTATTAGATATTGGGAAGCGGGGCAGATTAGCGCACTAACTAACAAGGCAAGCTAACTAAAAAAGCTTGTAAAAGTGCGATTCAAACTCTCTCACGAAGGGTTCCAGATTTACATAAAAGCCCCATTTAAATTTTATTTTATTGTGTCTGTATATTTTTTAAGCATCTACCTATTACTCTTATCAATATAGAGAATACCGAGCATTTGTTTTATGACAGCGCCCGTAATTTTTTTTGTATTCTGTTTTTAGTATTTTCTGTTATAGCGGCAACAGAAATACATCATCTGTGTAAATTTTAACTATCCTACTACCACGGCTCATGAGATAGAGCCTGGACAGATGAATAGAAGGATTGACAGCGGAGTCTTAGTCCTTTCTGACCCGTGGAACACCAAAGTGATTCACCTAGGTGTTCCACAGTCAACTTTTTGTACCCTGGTTCATCAAGATGTTCTGCTATTCAAAATAATGTATCCGTTGTTCACCTATCTAATATAATACAAGTGAACCACTTTGGTGTTCCACGCGTCAGAAATGGTCTTAGTAAAAGAGCTTTACCCATTTGGAACGAAAACCTAAAAAGATGTCAGTAAACACTTACCCTGAGCATGATAAATTATTTTTATTAATAAACTTATCTTTGTTTACTACTTTTAAAATAGAAATGAAAATATTAATAAATATGAAATTAAAAAAAAAACATTTCTTCTCAACTGTGTTCCATTTGTGTACTGATAACAAATATTTCTTGTATATATAAAATTCTCCCCTAATCGACTCATTCAGCATTCAGACACCCACTGCATACTAATGGCGGATAACGATGTAAGCCAAAAAGGGTAGGTACTCTATTCGAAAACCTTGACATCGCAGAAAAGCGGGTTGAATCGAAAGATTGGGCAATTATATTAGGTATCTGCGATGCAATTGAATTGGCCATTTTATTACGCCCACGATAACGTTAACAACTGCTTATATATTTATTAGCTTTCCGCCGGTTTTGCGCATGCTAACTACAACTTATAAGCGCTATTTAGATAAAGAGAATAAATAAAGATTTTTTTTTTTGTTATCATGAATTTTTGAAACGGAAGACATCTACAAGTCAACTCCATTACCTAATTTCTTTCATTATTAGAGTTAATTGACTTATAAAGCACCTATGTTAACTATTCCTTTCTA